GATCTGTGTTTCTCCTACAATATTGCCGCCGCCTCATGGGCGGGATCCGGGCGGCGCGGGCCCGGCGCGGGCGGGGGAGGCGGAGGGAGGCGGGGATGGCGCAGGGAGGGGGCCGGGGCTGCTTCCGCCGGCGAGTGCCGGAGCCAGGAAGCGGCGCCACCGCCCCGGGGCTCGGCCGCTCCCCGCCCGCCCCGAAACCCTGCTCGAGGCTTCCCGTGCCGCCTCTTCCTCAGGGTGCGATGCTTCCTCCGGTTTTCCACACAGTATTCCCACACAATATTCCCAGCTATCTCACTGCTTTCTCATTACACCCTCGTATCTGCTGTCATTAGAGGGTTGCGTTTTGTGTCCTCCGGTACCATCAGCCCGTACGTGCCCAGCTGCCTCCTGGACATCGTCGTTCAATTACGGTTGATCATATGTGCAGTTCTGGCTAAGGTGACATGGCAAAGGAATCTCTTTGATGTGTGCAAGCGGTTTTGTAGTTCGCTTTTCGCCTGCGACACGTGGATAGTCAGCATGTACTCTGCTCGAATCTGTCGCCGCGTTCCTCCAGTGCCGGGGCGAGCAGCTGTTTCCTGGAACACTGTAGTGGGGTTTGGCAGTCTGCTTGTGCCGGACACTTAAGGGATGCCTCATTAAATGAGCGGTCCCTCGATGGGATGTCTGCACGGGAAGAAAGTCAAAGTATTTTTCTGTCTGCTCTCTTTTGATCTAAAGAACCTAAATGTAGGATCTGTAAGGATCATTCCATGATCTAAAGAGCCTAAATGTAGAGGTCGTTTTAGTTCAGTACAAACCTATCGATTCTTCTGGGGGTGGAAACAGACTCTCCTTCTTTGGCTTTGTCAGAAAGTTGAATGCCTCATATACACTTGTTTTTCAAGCTGTCTCTGTAGCTGAAGGAGAGTAAATAGTTTGCTGCAGAGACTGCTTCATCTCCTCCTGAAGTAGGTGTCCGAGATGTGAGAAGAATTCCCTTTGGAGTTGCCTTTCTGTGTCTATGGCCTGAAACTGGGACCTGCATAATGGGTTTAGTCTAAATAGCTAACATCTAAAGGAGTACATTTAAGCAAAGTAAGTCCAGGTCTCTGTCATTCATGACCAAAAAGAATCACCTTATTTAGTTTACCACATATCCCACAACCTCTCCTCCACCAAGCCACATAATCCTTACCCTAATCATGACTGACTGACTATCCAAATTGGCCCACAAACATTATTTCAGCAAGTCAAAAAAGAACTCACAAAGTCCTCAGGTTGTTATGGACTGCTAATCCTGTGGTGGGGGCTTTAGGTCTGTTTCAATTTTGTGTGTGTAGTCCCACATATTCATGTTGGTGCTAATACTTCACATTTTTCTTACAACCTACAGTGAATGACTACAAGCCCAAAAGTCTCTCTCTTCACTTTGCATTCCCTAACAGGAGATGACAGGAGACCTGCCATTTTCAGTTTTCATCCTTAAAACTTCACAGTCACACTCAGTACATCTCAGTTCTGTCCTGAAATGCTAGGTTATCCCAAGCTCTCAGCTTGTCTTAATTCCAATTATGATACTGTAACTCTACAACAGAAGTGCCCAGGCATTGAAATATTTGCGCTATTTCTATCTAACTATTCTATCTTTCTATTTCTATCTAACTATCTAAGCTGAAAACAATACTTTGAGCCTATGAGCCAGATTGGATGCAGTCATACATAGATGAGACTATTTTTTCCTATTGTCAAGCATGAGTTCTCTGAGATTCCACCTTTTTTTGTAGTCACTTTACTCCCTTGAACTAGTGATATCTTAACTACCAGTTTAAAGCAGAAGTATCAAAGGAAGCAGTGATAATATGAAGTGTCACTGAATGAGAAGTTAATCTGTGTCTACAGAGATGTATGCTGCATGCCCAGTGTATTGTGATAAAACACATTTGGGAACTGTTTCTTCTGCAAGGAAAGATTTTTTTTTAATATACCAAACACTTTTATTATATGTGAAGTGTTTTGATAAGACAACTGCACTATGTCTCCTGAAAGCCTGGTTTATTGACACCTATAGCAGTACTTGCTGCGTGAGGAACAAATTGCTGAGCTATTTTTCAAGTCGTCTTCAGATCCTGGAGATATACAGAAAGATAAGGGAGACTGAAACCACAGGGGAAAGAGATGGCAGTAAACATGCTTCAGTCCTTCCTGCAGTGTGAGCCAAACTCCCTTGCTGACCCTGCCCATGTCTCGGTACAATTAGTTCTCTTCTGCTATTGCAAACCTGACCCTGGGTTCTTTCTCACACCGAGCAGAATAACACTGGAATGAAGATTATGCAAAAAGCCATTTTACCATCAAAAAATCCAAATTTCTCATCACCGTTTTTTGGCTTGTCAGCACTTTGCAGGCCAGTATTTTGGTGATAGTCACAGTATGAAGCCTAGGTAGTCTATGAGCAGTTTTCCCTTCTAGGTCTAGGCTTGGAAAGAGATGATCCATGCTTTAGGATAAAACAGGACAAGACAGACACAAACCTACTCAATCCTTGTATTCCTGCAAAGTTATTACTATAATTCTGTGTGAACAGTTAACAAGAGAATCTGTTAATTACATATTTTTCTATCTGATAAGTTGCAGCAGCCTAGACAACCTATGATATGTATAATAGATACTAGAATTTGGCATAATTACAGCACAGTAAAATAAAAGAAATGCACAGTATTATGAGAGTTTCAATGTAAGAAATATACAGTATTGTGAGAGTTTCTTCTTAAATTCCCAGTGTATTTTCTTCTTCCTTCTCAGTAACGTGTTCACAGATAAAATAGCTAGGACATCTTCTGTTGGGAAGTTAGTGGACTTGCATGTGTTCAGCTGACTCTTGTGTTTCTCCTACAATATTTCCACCAATGACTTTCTTTTCATACACGGAGGGACACAGGGTCAAGGAGGAACTGTTTCTTTGAATAATTCAAAGTAATTCAAACTCACTGTGTAATGTCAGTAGTGTTATTCATGGTTGTGGTTCGTGTGGGAGTGGGAACATGTTGAGGGTTCTTTTGCACAAAAATTACATACTTACAGATATTGTGTTAGGATATGTGCATTTAAAACCACAACTAAGTAATATCTGGAAGGAAGATGCCTAAATGTTTTATTTTTAGATATGTCAAGAGTATTTTCTATTTGTTTCTATTGTTAATTTGGTAATTAGGTGCTTATAGTGAAGTATAAGAAAAGGAAGAGAACCTGTTTGAATACCGTAGATGATGGAGTGTATAAGGAATCTCCCAGCATCCCCATTTAGACTTTGTATTTACAAACAAAACAAAACAACAATGAAGCCAAAACCCAAAAACCTAAGCAAAAGCTAAACATATAATATTGTATAAAGAGCACAAGCTCTGCCATTGTAGAGAAGTGAGCACCTGACTTGTACTCCCGGAAAAGCAAACCAGGCCATCTGCTTTGTATCAGCACGGCAGATACTGCATTCTGGAGTCAAAGCTTTATCCAGACAAAGGTGTGAAGAGGACTTAATTGGAGAAACAGTGTGAGAAAGAAGATCAAAGGCTTATCTTAAAAGAGGAATATTATGCATGTAGTCTTAACCTACTGTTAAAATTGAAAAGAATGTGTATTAGCCTTTCCCTTTGGTGGTCCAATCCTGCTACTTTCACTGTGTCTGCATGTGCAAACATGCTGAGACTTTGTGCAGAAGTCAGTACAGGAACGATAAATTGCTTTAATCCTGCTCACGCTCTCAACAAGGATCTGCAGTGGGATGTGAGATGTGTTGGCCTTGCTCTGGCTCTCTGCCCAGGTGCAAATCCCTTTCTGAGCAAGTGACATTAGATTGTCAACAAGATACCACATTCATCAAAAGCGTGTGGCATATTTTCTCATTTCTCTTGCACACAAACAAATTCAGACTTCAGAGTCCATTTGATATGAGATCATCTTCAATAATTCAGGTTAACAATTAACATTTACCTGTAGTTTTTCTTTATGTGTTTCTTTAAAGGATTAGCAACGTGGATTTTGCTGTCAGAAGGGAAGATGTCTTTAGCACAGCTGCAGTTCTGACTCTTTGGGAAGTGCTGGTAGCTTGCATTTACAGTAAACATAGAAAAGAGGTCTGGTAGCAGGGCACAGTGCATTTGCATGACAGAACTGCAACGTAACCCTGCTTTTTGAACATGCCCAGGCTGCTGGCAAGGTCGTGGAGAGCTGTGAAATGATATGGGAGCTGAGCCCCCCAAGAGGCATGCTTCCATTTCCTTACAGGAATACTGCCAGAGAGCAGTGTTTTAAATCTAACGATAACACAGATCAAATGGCCTTTGCCTGCTTCAGGTGTTTGCTTAGAGGTCAACATCCTCTTTGTTTTAAGAAAACTAGAAATCCTGGCCTAGCATAGTGCTACAGTGAAGGAGCTATTTTCCTTTAAGCATTCATTTCTGAAAACATTTCTGAACAACGGAGTTTAGGGTGCAAGTAATATTGAAAAGTCCATCCTGATCAACTGTTTCTAAAAATTTTTTAAAAGGCAGAAGGACTCTCACTTATTTGATCTGAAATGAGCTGTACATACCATGGGGCATTCCCCAGTAATTTTTGCTCAGGCTTTTGAGCCATTTTGGTGCTGATTCTACCCCTGACATAAACCAGAGTCCAGGACTGTTCTCACTCATGTCTGTCGGGAATGGCCTGCCTGTACGTTCATTGTTCTTTGAAGATTACCACTGTTTTTTTCAAGCTGCAGAATAGCCCAGCGGAGA